AGGCCGTATACTGGTCTTTGGCATCTTGCAGGGAAAGAGCAAAGAAATATTGACCTTTGAGGTAAGCCATGACCTCGTCTTCGCCTTTGGCAGCTAAGGATGCGAAGAGGAAGGTCCAATATAGATGAAATTCGGCCAAGGTGCTGCAGTGCGAGCGTGAGTCCTGGAAGCTGCGGAGCAACATTTTCAAGAGACGCTTCCGCTCTTGACCCCGGGCGTGGAGTTTGCCGGGGATGTTTGCTTGGACATCCTTCAACATGTGCCGATAATCACCTTGTCGGATGGAGTTTGGGCACATTTTGCGGCGTGCAGCTTCGATCCCTTTGGCCCAGTCCCCATGCAGCTGCCGGATGTGTGTGCACGAAGCGGTCGTTGAGCTTTGGGCGTTCGGCTCAGACCCGGCATCTCGGCGCAGACAATGCACGGAAGCTGCTGCTGTGGCGAGGGGACCAATGCTTGCAAGAGGAACTTGGTCAAACGCACGCAGCAATGCAAGTGCTCGCAAGATACTGCACCGTCAGAGTTTGTGACGCAGTACAGCACGGGCGTGCAGTGTGTACACCAGGAAGTTCCTTGGATGCCGCGCTCCAACGTTGTTACTGAGAGCCGCTTCGTGAGCAAGCCGAGTGGCATGAGCTTCCAGTCACCAAATAAGTCCTTGAAGGTGGCATCGATGCCGACCTTGAGATAGTTCGGGTTGCTAGGTGACGGCGGCACGAGCAAGAGTTCCTTCGTGGATACCACGACGCAGCAACCCTGCTTGCCCGAAGTGCGGGGGAAGGTGTGGAAGCTGAGGACAAGAAGCTCATCGGAGTCGAGCGACTCGTCGGCTAACGCACCTTGGACTGCTTCTTTCAGCGGCATGTCTGCCCGCCAACATGCGCCAGATGCTGCCTCCCGGATGTCGTCCACAGTGAAGTGGGCACGATCATCCATTTCGGCAGCATCGTCTTCTCCATCTTTGCTTTGGCATTGCTGCTCTCTGCGCCTCCGCTTCAAGTTCTTTAGACGATTCTGCTCTTGAGGCTCCGTTGGCGGATCGCAGGGCTCTTTGTTTATCGAAACCAGCCGCCCCTTGGTAGAAGAACTGACCGACGCATCGAGTTTGGCACGCTGGGTAGGCGTGACCGTGCCGCCCTTTTTGCGCTGCCCTGTCGGATCATGGTCGCCAGTACAACGCAGCTCAAAATGCATTGTCTGCGAATTGTAGCAGGCACCGCCGACCCAAGTGCACTTCTTCGGGTCTTGGCAGCTGGTGCAAACTAAGGGGACTGCCACGGATCCGTTCTTGTCTTTTTGGCTGACCCAACCAGGTCTTTGCGAGACATCGAAGGGCAGGCGTCCAGCATCTGTTGCGGCCTTGAGGCTCCGGCAGTGCTCTTGGGCCTTTGCACGAACTTCTTTCGCAGTCAAGCTGGAAGCGACCTGCTTTGACCATAACAGTAGTGTAGTGATCCATGAAGATTCGCCGACTATGACGTGTCTGACGCAGCGGTTGGACGTCTTCTTCGGTTTCCGCACGCGGCTTGTGCACGCCAACCATCTGCACAATCAGTCTATGCAAGCCCGACTGCTGGCGGACGCTCGCCACCCAGGTGACCGGACACACCGGATCCCGAGTGTAATTGGCAGCACTGGACTCAGCGGCTTCTTTGCGAAGTCCACCGCAAAGACAGGAGAAACGAGGTGCACGATCGGAACGTTCGGCCCCTCGCCGAGAGGTGCGGAAGGACAAATTTTTGGCACGCAGAGCGCGCTCAACAATGTGCCAGTGTTCGAGCTTGGCATCCGGGTCCGGCACCGGCTCATCATAGACGATCGTGCTTTCGGTTGTTACCTCTGAGGGCGGCGCCTCGCCTCGCATTCGGCCTGTTGCAATCTTTCGGCGCGGACTTGGTTTGCTCTTTGCGGCCGTGCAGCCAGGATCGGAGATCCCTTCGTCGCCATTGTGGCGAGCAGGTAGTCCCAGATCTTCCGAGGCAGAGCCTTGGTTTGCACCGTCGAGGCTTCCTTGAGAAAGCACAGGCAGAATGGTATCACTAATCGCTGAGTCAGAATCGCCAGACAAATCAATCTGGGCGGTAGAGTCCTGCTGCGAGGTAAGTTTGAGGAACCCATGCCTTGACGAGTCCGCTTCTCGCATATTTGCAGCTTCCGAGTCGAGCGGTGCAGTGTCGTGTGGTTCGGGATTCATTGCTGCTCCTGCCGGCACATTCAATAGCTTGGAGAGCAGCTTCGCCAGAAGTTTCTACGGAAGGCTGATACACAGCAAGTAGCGAATGGCCGCCTGGCAGCGGCAGGGATGTACTGGGGTCAGCTGGGTCCGTTGCGGGAGACACACTGAAAGCCCAGAAGAAAGTCGCTGGCACGGCCAACGGTGTCTGCCTCAGCGTGTCGCTTCGGAGTTTGAGCAGGAACGGCTCTCGTGCCCTCGATGCCCGAGGCACAAGCGCGTGCAACAAACGGCGATCGAAGAAACGGCAGGCGCACTTGACAGCATTGTCTGAAATTTCAGCTTCAGCTGCGACGGCGGGCGGGCAAAATCTTAGTTTAAGCAAAGGTGTCAGCTGAGTACTACATCGGGTCTTAAAAGGCCCGGCGGGGCCACAGCAAAAAAAAAAAACACCACTTCCAATCCTAAACCCTGAACCCTATAAACCCTAAACCCTATAAACCCTATACCCTAAACCTTGCAAACCCTAAACCCCCTAAACCCTAAACCCTAGGACGTTTATTCAGTCCAGCCTGCACCCCCTGGAGTTTCGGACACGACACAATCTCCATAAAGTGTTGTCTTAATTTCGAAGAGCGTATGTTTATAGGAACATGCAATGTAGGGGCCTTACTAATTAGAACAGGGTTTGGGCTCCTTTATAGTAGTAGATTTTTAAAAAAGGAATCCTAACAGCAATATGGGTAGAAATTTAGGGTTCTATATTAGAGGTCTGGGGCTTGAGGACGAAGCTTTGGAACCAATTTTCAAATCTCCTGCCAAGAAAAGAATGCCTAGTGAAGATCGTATCGTTTACCTTAACCCCAAAGAACCTACGTTTTTTAAGGACTCCTTACACAAAACAACTATAATAAGGAACCCTAAACAGGTAGGTCCAGGTAGGTTTTTCTAGAACCCTCTAGGTAGAGATTCGGTTGTAGGGTTGTGAGTTTCGCCAATTGGTGGCTTGCGTTCGGGGAAGTTGTTTCTGAGATAGTGTGTCGACTGCATGCGACCGGCCACGAGCATGTTCTGTCGGATGCCGATGCTCACCGCCGAGACTTTGACGTCATGCTTGGAGGTCCAGGTGTGTGAGTAGACTAGTGCTCCCGACAGCATCCTGGCCTGGATCGTCACACTGCCCAGCCTCAGCCGGGCGAACAGGTTCACCACGACCGAGCGGACTTCTGCTGGCCTCGTCACCAGCCACTTGACCAGCCCACCTCTTTCGCACCGCCACAAACGAACTCCGTCGCCGAGTTCTCGCGAGAGGAAGCAGGCAAAGCCTTGGTGGGGTGTATAGTCCTCCAGTCTAACCCTAAACCCTAAACCCTGAACCCTAAACCCCAAACCCTAAACCGAGGGTTGTCGGGCCAAAGAGCCCCACAGGCTCCGGACTCCATCAACTCAAAACTACACCCCAACATCTGGGTAGTGCTCTAAATTAGGGTCGCCTTGGGAGTCCGTTTTATAAGGGAGCCCATGGGGACCGAAATTAGGGCCCCTTTTTAAAAAGGGACCCTAATTTAGAGAACTACCCATCTGAGCTCCCTAGAAAAACTAAACAATACACCGACAAACCTCCAGATTGAATGCCTCCAACAAAAAGTTAAAGGTTACTGCGCCTCGAGTGACCCCTGGTATTTTGCACGTAGGGATTGCAGCAATGTGTTTGAAACTGGGGTTTTGGCATGGTTTGGGCATGGAAGCTCTGGTAACCGTACGCTCTTGAAACACGAACGTTACTATGGTTTGGGCATGGATGCTCTGGTAACCGTATGCTCTTGAAACACGAACGTTATTATGGTTTGGGCATGGATGCTCTGGCAACCGTATTCCAGAATGTGCAAAATGTGCAAAATATCAGGGGTCACTCGTGGCTCACGTACCAAAAACACAGCATGGGGAAAGAGGGACACATGGGCCGTGTGGGCCTCGGAAAATTGCGACCTTCCCCCCCCCTCCCTAATGTGACTCCCAGAATCCCAACAAGGGTGCGCCCTGCTCTGCTTAGCCTAGAAATGAAGGTGTCAGGCCAGCCGTTGCGGTTTGAAGGTTTCCTGACCGAAAGTGTCACAGCAGAGGAGATGGGAAGCCAAACCGGGTTTAGGGTTTGGCTTAGGGCGCGCCGGGACGCTCCAAACTTAAGATTGCATCTTGAGGGCTTGACGGGTTCCCAGAATTTCCCAGACACTGGTTCTGCGGCTCCCGGTTCAGGTAGTTCGCAAGCCAATTCTTCAACCCGACAACTGCATTGTGCGAGGTTCCCTTAGGACCACGACGAAGACCGCGACGACGACACCAAGCAAACTGCTGACGACATGTAGGGGCAAGGGTTGGGGTCGTGTGGAAAAGCGGAGGAGGAGGAGGCTGGGGGTGGCGGTGGGCGAAGCAGTAGGAGCAGAGACCAGGCCGAGGATGAATGTTGTTTGAATATGTTTGGATCAGATGGGGATGATGGTGATGATTATGGTGCTGAGGATGAGGAGGAGGACAGACGATGACGAAGGACGATGACGATGATGGTGGGGCGGGTGATGGCGATGCTGACCGTTGTGAGTGTGGCTTGAAGATTGTTTGATGCTGGAGCTTTTTCAGTACTTGAAAGACGACGACTTCAATGCAAAAGGATGCTCTGTGAGTGGCAGGCGCGAGCTGGCTGAGCGCTTCGCAACGGCACAGCTGCTCGTGGACCAGTACACGCAAAGCGATAGCCTTAGAGTCCCTCAGAGGCTTGCCTCTGCCGAGCTCTGCTCTGATCAAGCACCTCGGAGGTTGGGAAGAGCAGGAGGCCAGCTCGAAGGCGCTCGACTTTGAGCGACGCCAGCTCCTTTCCAGCACCCGCCTCAGTTCCCGCAAGGGACCGGGCCCCTTGCAGACAGAATTCCTATGCTTTCTGAGCAGGCCTGGGCCTCGCCTTGAAAGGAGCCCAGAGTGAGAGCAAGCGCGAGCACCTTCAGAGGGTGGCTTGTTTGGTGGTTTTCGCCAGGACCAGGAGCGAAGGCCTCTGCGAAGCCAAAGCAGCGCCCGACGACACACAGAGGCGGGAGACAATGACAAATGCTGGGCCTGCCTTCTTAGACAAGTTCACTGGTTGCCCAGGTGTGCAGACACCGCCGTCTAGGCAGTCGGCAGGCGTGATGGGATAGCATCGATAGAACCTGCGTGTCCAGGGGCATGCTAACACGGAGAAGTCTGGAAGGAGAGCGGTTTGTTCCAGCATGGGCCAGATATGCTCTTTGACTCGCTGCTGCCTGTCGCACCCTGTTACTCTTGGTCCAAGAGTCTCAGCTCTGAGTCTTTCGGACGCCGCCTCGCAGTGAAGTGCCTCAGCTGCCATCTGCTCAGAGCCTTGAACCGTGGGCTCTTCATGGGCTTAGGATATCTCAGGATGCCGGAGTACGAGCTCTTTTACTGGCCCATCACCGGTCTGGGGGAGCCGATCAGGTGCCAACACATGCGCAAGGTGCGTCGGCTCGAGATTCCGGTGCGAGGCTGACCTTCATCATCGGTGGAATTCCCTTCAAGGACCGGCCTTTGAGCTTTAAACTCAGCTTCAGTTGGGTGTACTAGGGAGCATGTTTAGGACACTACGCCGAAGACTGATGAGACGTTCAACGACAGGAAGACGGCATTGCACCCGCCTCTCGGCTTTGGCCAGTCCACATTCTGACAGTGATTTGAGTTCCTCGGAGATGCTTATCGCGCTGGAGATTTCGTTCTCAGGTATGCGCCTGATGCCACCGGCCTGCCCATCTTGACCATCGCTCTTTGGACTGACATTGGTGCAGTTTGGGTTGGAGGATCGCGGTGCTCAGGACGGTAAAGCATATGCTCAAAGCCGCGCTATTCTGCGCTACATCGGCCGCATTGCCACATGGCTCCGACACGCTGCAGAACTCTAAACTCTGGCAGTCCTGCGCCAGCTGAAGTTAGGCAAGGCAAGGTGTAAGCGGGCAGGAGTGAGACTGCTCCATGCGAAGACGTTCGATTCAAGATGAGATACTCCTCGCAAATGAGGCACAGTACGAGGGCTCGGCTCTGTATCCCACAGATCCAATGGTTCCTTGGCTTCACTGCCTGGACAAGCTGCGCAAAATTGAGCCTCCACAGCTACTGCTGTGCTCGTTTTGCTGCTGGCTTCGGCAGGCCGTCCATCTTTGTAGTCTCGGTGCTCAGCGAACGCATAGCAAGCATCCCATGGTGGGTCGGTGTCCAGTGACAAGTAGTAAGTAGGACTTGCAGAAGCGAGGCAAACTTCAATCAAGCAGCATGCTCCCAAGCAATCCTGGTGCAACAGCCCGTCTGCCACAAGTTGAGCACAAGGAACAGCTGGAGTGCGATGATTACATCGAGCTGGGAGAGGAGAGGTCTGACTTGCCACGATTTGCCACGAAGGCTCGGAAGCCTTCTCTGCCAAGAAAGCACAGCGGAAAGCAGGACCTGAGGATGCCTATCCTTTCAACCTTCCGCATCGAAGGCCAGGAAGAGAAGGAGGCGCATGACACACAACGTTAAGTCGTGTCAAAGAAATCTTGAGAGCAGCCCTGGCCTCTCGGAGGCCGCACGTGCGGCTCTGGTTGGACCAGAGGGAGGTGTGACCAAGTTCTTGAAGGCCAGCGCTTCAGACATTTGGTGCTCTCGTGTTTCATTGATTGCTGATTGCACTGTTTGCAGAGTCTCAGGTGCTCGACAAGAAGCTGGGAGCAGCTTGTTGTCTTATGCCATGGGTTTTCGTGAGCTCTGCCTTGACCAATGCAGCGTTGGCTCCGGAATGCACCTTCAGGACAATTTTCCGACAAAGCTGAACATCGGATGTTTCCTGGCTCAAAGCTGGCGTACGAGGGATACCAAATCTGATTTGTCGCTGTGTTGGCTCCTGTAAACTCGTGTGTTGGCGGCCCTCGTTCCGAGGCATTTACGTCTGGTGTATTACGACCATCTTCCGGCAACCTACTTTCCTGGATGGCATTCCTGCGGATGCTCTTGCTCCGTATGCGAACATCACCAAACTGCATCAGAAGTTCAGCTGCACTCGGCTTCTTCATTTGGATTTCGCATCCAGTGATTGCAGAGAAGTGCTGCTGGGTGGCGAGGGTGTGTATGCTGGTGCAGCTGCTGCCAAGAGCCTGCCCTGGAGGTGGATCTCCAACGTCCCGGCGGTCAAGGCGCATTACGAGAAGGCGGAGGGCCGAAGCTTGGCATGCAGACCCATCCCTGGTGAAAAGGAGAGGTCTGTTGACGTCTTTGTTGCTTTGCTTCTCTCAGGTGACAGCATGAAGCCCCTGTGATCGATTGAAACGACACCCTTCTTGTCAAAGCTGATGGCTGCAGCCGATTTGCGCATCCCGCCGGTTGCTTCCTGCTGAGCAAGTCGAGAAAGACCCAGGCTCTTCGGTTTCCTAGTGCTCAATTGCCGCGGAGAAAAGCCGGGAGCATCCACTGAAGCATCATCGGAAAGCCTCCACTTCGGAGTTCTGGCACGGCAGCACCCAGTCTTGTTCACGATGTCGCACGCAGCTTGTTGCCAGGGGGGATATCGCTCGAGGACTGCCTCGGTTCGTCTTCCGGTCAGTGTCGCGGTGCTTTCCATGCAGTGATTAGCACCCCAATTTTCCTGGAACGGCCAATTGAGGAGCCTTGCCTGATCAATGTGTGCGATGATCCGCTACTATCAGGTGCCTGATCTTGTGTTGGCCGATCACTAAAGACATGATTAAGCGAGCAAATGCCCCTTGGGTCTCCAATCGCGCCGCCCTCTTCGCATGACAGGTTGTGGTTGTACAGGATCGCACGGGACTCCGAACATGACGCGACATGGTCAAAATGATTGGGACATGAATCGAAATGAATGCAAAGAATCCGGAAGTAACAGTCATCGCGAGAGAATTCATTCCAACTCAGTCGACCGTCTTTGAATCGATGAGGCGTGCTGTGGCCTGTGAGAAAAATCTTGGACACCATGCCACCGTGCCAACTTCAAAAGTTGCTAGATATCGAAGGTACAACGAAGCGAGCAGATATGTGAGGGAGAGTCACAACGGTGTGAATTTCGAACGGTGTGAATTTCGCAGTGTTGTGGTGAATTGCAGAAAGGCACCGGGGTCCAGAATGATCATGCCTCTTGCAAGGTCTATCAGTCTAACACTAACAGTGTCAATGCAGCCCGGTCTTCGGGGCCTCTACACCTGGGCCTTGAAAGGCCAAGGCATGCCAAGCCCTTCAACCTTCTCTGCAATTGCCTGAACAGGCAGTCGGACATGCCAGAAAACCAGCCATGGCCACACGGATTCTAGACCGTCGTGGGCAAGAGCTGATCCGAGATAATCTGTGAAGGAGTTGGGCTCAAGTCGTTCACCCCCTTGGAGTCCGAATAGAGTGGCAGTTTGCCCGAAGGAGCCGAACTGTGTCTCAATGGAGTTCCATCCCATACAACTTGCTAGTGTCCGCCACTCGTGAAAGAAGTTCCTTCAAGTGACGCTCAGAGGCGTCAAGAAGTAAAGTGTCGTCTGCATGTACAATGTCAGCCAAATCACCCCGTGGTACGCATCCAAAAAACGAGACATCCAATTTAGCAGCAGCATCGTGCATGAGGACAGTCATCGTTATGACGAACAGTAGCTGGCTCAGCATACGCCGTGTGAAATGCCAGAGTTCTGAGATTTCCTTTTCACAGAGAAAACCCTTGATCTTTAGCATGAAACGCACGGCAGTGCATCATGTTACCAACCAGTTGCAAGCAAAATCTGGAACACCATATCGGTGAAGTGCCTCAAGGAGGCTGTGCATGTTCATGCTGCTACATGCCCTCTTCCAACCGAGTGCCAATAAACGGATCTGACCATTGCGTCGTGCACATGCCTGTTCAATTTTTCGCAGTGCAACGCAAATGGCGTCCTCGGTGCAGTGCCCTGCATCCTGGGAGCGCTGTTCGAAGCAAAGGGGCCGGTAGTTTTTGGGGTCAGCAGGATCACCACCCTTTTTCTCCATACCTACTTGGCCTTGTCCGTACGCATTTTTTTGTCGATGTGGAGCAAGGCTATCAGCAACACTAGACGGGGAAACCTGGGAAATGGTTCATGTCCCTGTTTGGGGCCTCGAATATGCTGACGACGCTGTTCTCCTTTCCTGTTCGGCTCAGCGATTTGAGCGCTTGTTTAAACAATTTACATTTGGTTCAACACGGCGGCCATTGTGCACTTTCGCCTACACTCAACACAACGAATCTTTCCCTCCCCTCACCTAGCCGACCCTTGTCTATGGCGCCACTGTTCGGGATACCATCACGACCTCACCCCTGTTCCTTTTCTTTCTTGTTCCTCAAACGGAAGAACTTAAACTACCGGGTCTCACAGGCAGTTGCCGCATCTAGACACTTGCGCCCTTTACTTTCTCACTCAGCCCTTGCACCTTCTCGGAATCTTGCCGTTTACTGTTCCATTGTTCTTTCTATTCTTACCTACGCCATGGATAGCGCAGTCCTTCTCCAGCACGAATCACCAACTTGAACTCAGTTCACTATAAATCTCTTCGCTGAATCTTCAAAACTAATGTGTCTGTCTACCACAGAATTTTTTTGCCTATCGGCACGTTGCTTCCCCGAAACGAGCAGGACGACCGTGTCCACATAGGGCATAGTCTTGTCTCACGGAAGCGGTGCACCCCATTGACTTTAATATACTGTAATCACTTCCGATCAGCCTGCCTACAACGCAGATATCCATAACGCGTTTTTCAATATCCCCGCTGTCTCCCAGATCCAAGAGGCTCATAGCAGTTCCTCTTTGATGAGGATGGATAACACGCAGCTTTTGCGTCAAGTACAACCCTACTGTCAGAATAGACAGCGATGGAGAACTCTTGTTCACAAACCCCGCTCTACTAGGCAGGCTCACTCGAATCCGCTTTAAAGTAAGTCGGCGCTGACGGGCAACCAAGACTGTAGCCCTGCGCGTGCGATACAGGATCACCTTCTTGAAACGGCATAGCCATGCATAGTCACATATTGCCAGCAGTGGTTGCGCAGGAGTTTGGGAGCTAAGCCAAGCTTGTGTCAGGTTCCATCGCCAGTGCTTTGAAGGTCGCAATATGTACACATGCCGTCTTTGGTGGCCTTGCCAGAATACATCTTTCTAGTGGCTCTCCGAAGCTCCGCCAAACTGAAGTCGCGTGCGCTCACTGCGAGTGGAGGTATGATCTGGTTCACACCGTTTGCTTCTTTTTCATTGTCTCCTGTGTTTGGCTCTGGGTTCTAGTGACTGTCAAGACTTTGGCTCCCGCCCAGTGTTTGCTCTACACCTTAGCCACGGCTCCGTCCCGGGTTTGTGTTAGTATCTGTCAACTTTCCTTACACCGTCCCAAACTTGCCCGGTCCGTTTCAAGATCACATCCGTGCTCTAGATCAGATTGAGGGCCACGGCTAGTAGTCCGGCACGGCGCCAGCAAACGTAGACGAGCCACTGCAACAATACGCCTAGAAGAAGCCCAGCCAACCACTTCAGGTCAGAACAGTTACGCCAGTCCCAGGACTTAAGTCCTTGTCTATGGCTAGCCCTCGTTCCTTAGTATTTTCATACTCTTCTGGGCTCTACTTTTAGCGAGCTTCTGTTCTGTACACACTAAACACCAAAGGGGTTATCAAACACACGCTCACTCTGGCTATTGTTTATGACTGTCTCGAGTTTTCAGAACGTCAGGTTCTCTCCCGTTCGTTCTAGTCCGTCACAGCATTTGCTGTCCGTCCCGTCGCTTTTGTGGGTTCCGACACGCGTCCCCCTGCCCTCAGGAGGCCCTCAGGTTCTACGGCATTGTCTCAGCACTTCCTTTACTTCCTCTCCATTGTTGGTTGTTGACTCGTCGACCGGAGTTCGGCTACGCCTTAAGAAGTGGTACTTGTAGACAATGGATTCAGACCTGGGAAAACGGAGTAACTTCCGACTGCGCTTTGACTAAACCAGGTGCTACCCTAGCTCGGACCACACTGTTGCGCCGCTGCGCAGCCTGATCACACAATCTTCAGCGGGTTCTGCAGGCTGCTTGCGATACATGCTCCCTGCGAATCAAACGGTCCAACCGCCTTGTTTGGTTCAGTTTTGGAGTCTGAGCATAAAGGCAGCTCGGAGGAGTGTGCGTCTGGCTCAGGTCAGCATTGGCAGTAGCACGTGTGGACTCCAAGACTCCGAGTGGTTGCTGAGCACAGCTTGTGATGTCAAATTGGCTACTCAAGGTCCTGCCAAGTGCGCCTGGACGGGCTTGGTATTCGGGAGGCAGGTTTGTGACTGCACTTCCGTTTGTGTTATTCTGCTGTACATGCGACAAGCCTTGCACCTTGAACTTGTCAGGTTGTGTGGGCTGTTAACATTCATGTTGCCGGGGTCGACGGGGTGGTTCAAGTGGCCGTCGCAAACGAAGCTCCACTTGAAATGACCAGGTAAACATACCGGCAAAAAGTAATTGCACGACCTGGGTGTCTGCATACACAGCTGGTGTGCATCTAGCTTCACCTTTTGCTGAAACCGGGTTTAACGAGGTACAGGTCATGTCATGTTCTTGTGACTGCATGGTTGCCGCAATCGATGTTTAGTTGCTTGATTTCGAGCAGGTTACATGTCATGAGAGAGCATGAGTGCATGGGCAGACGTGCACGCATAATTAACGACCTTGATGGTCGTCGTCCACATCAAGCTTGGGTCTCGCAGTACCTGCCAGACATGTATCTTGAAAGTTAAAAGTTATGTTGCTGGACATCCCTCCTCCAATGTTTGGTGCGACCTAAAGTTTGTTTCTCGATGGACAACAAGTAGCTCGGAGAGGTCCTCTTTTCTTGACAGTGCTGTTTTGCAGGCGATGTGTCAAGTTTCGTGGCAGCCTGGGTGCGATGTGGAGGTTCAGGCCGCGGGGATGATTGTACAGTGGCCAGCACTCCGGGAATCTGCTCAGACGCAGGTCAACGGAGATGACTTTGCCACATTTGAGAGGCAAAACCCATGCCGCGCACGCTGCGACTGCTTGTGGGGTGCTAGCGCGAGTGCAGGCAAGGATCCCTCTACAAGGGCGGAGCACCAAAGGCGAGACGACGACTGTGGAGCAGAGCAGAGTCTGGATAAATCACAACCGTTGAGCAGGTCTCCATCAACAACCGGCGAGTCAAAGACGCTGCGATGCTTCAGCGACTTGCCACCAAAAGAATCCCTCTTTGAGGCCTGTCGCGCACACTCCAAGCTGCGCATCAGGCCTGGGGACGTGTTGCAGGTTGGACATGGACATGTGCCACTGCCCTGGCATCCCATCAAGGACTAGACTCTAATTGTGGGCATGTCGCTGTCTTCTTGAGGTTCCGACTATACGGCCCAGCGACAAGGTCCCTTTGGCTTCACCTGGCTGCCGGCTTTGCTTTCCTAATCACTGCAGTGCCTGGCAGGCAGAACCGCCCACTGCGGAGGTCCAGCAGCAGCAAAACAGGAAGCGTCCCCGGCCTCAAGCCCCACATGTCACAGGGGCCGGCAAAAGTGAAAGTGAGAGGCCTCCGGCCGAAGAGGCCGCCCGGAGTGCCGGAGTCCCTGGTCGAGGACCTGGAGGCGAAAAGAAGCCTTTTTTTGAAGCGAAGAGACGCTCAGCTCCGCTCGGAGCTCCCGGCTCTCCAGAAATCTCACTTCCTCTTGCGAGGCAGAGCTCGGTCTCGAGCGAGCCTCGGCCGTCGCCGCTCGGCGTTTTCTTCTCCGTCACGAGCTGCTCGCTGTCAGAGTTTTGCCTTCAGGTGGCCTTCCTCCAGGCAGGGCATGAAAAGGGCATTGAAAGGGCATCTCCGGGGTGCGTTGTGCTTGCGCCCTGGGCCGAGGAGCTCCAGCCTCTGTTGGAGGAGGCCACGGACCTGACACAGGAGCTTCGGGGCAAGCGCCTGGTCCTTCCCTCGGCTTCTTCGGCTCTTCCGGTTGTGGGTCGCCGGTGATCACCGGAGGTCTTTCAGGCAGAAGTTCTACGCGACGGACTGGAAGCATCTACTCGCTCCAGCAGGCAGGAGGCTGTGATGGCTGCAGCTTGCAGCATCCGCTGCATGTCGCGGCATTGAAAGGCCGGACCCAGAGGTTGTCATCGCTTTGCGGGAAGGCAGGACAGGCAGGAAAGGCTCTCTGACAGCTCCCTGGGCGCACTGAGAGAAGGCTTGGACACGTCCGAGAAGGACCCGACAGGCTTGACACCCTTGCGGTCACCGGGGGTTCCTGATGTGATCCAGTCGTAGAGACACTAAGTGGAGGCGACGAGGATGGAGCGCTCCTGTCGGCCTACCGCCTAGAGGGAAATCTGCCGGACCAAGATCACATTGCTGGGCTCGGTCCTGCAGGTCTGGTCTGTCGAGAAGTTCCATCAAAGGCTCGAGGCCGTGAGATTCGGGTCGTGAGCCTGATGACAGCTGATAGATGTGCCAGTCTGTTTTGAGCTCAGAAGCTGGAGCGTGGTCGTCAGCGTACCTTGCTTTGCCGCTCTTGGCTCTGCTATCGGGCTATCCTGCTCGCCATGGTAGCAATCCGACATATTCTGACCATGGCTGACCCGAACCACGACAAGACGGCCCATACTCCAAATAGGCATCGCATTCTCGATACCTCACGAGGCTTTACCTTTCCAGCTGCTTCTCACCCACGATGCAGGAATACGAGAGACACGAAGTCAGTATCGCGCGATATCGCGCAAGCGCACTTCCACAATGAGCCCCGAATCGAGTCACACAGCCCCCCACCTTTGAATACCTTCACGTTCCCTTCAGCCCGAAGCCGAAAGCTTTTGCATCATGGCTGCCGGTGGTTCGCCAGGGAGTGTCAGCTTGCCCGGTCAAGGATCCCATGCTGAAGAGCCGGTAAGCGAGAGCCGCTTTGTCGCTCCTTTAGCGCGGCGAGGGGTGAGCTCGGCAGGGGAGCGGGCTGCGGGGGCTGCCGGGGCCGCGGACGCCTCCGCGGCTGCGGGGCCTTCCACGCCGATGCCGGGCTCGGGCCCGGGCCCCGCTGCCCCTGGCAGTGCCCCTGGCAGTCCCTGGCAGTACCAGCTGAACCCGCGAGTCCGGGGCCGCGGCCTGGAGGCGAGCCCGAGCCCCGCGCTCGGCGTGCGGGCGCTCAGTGGCACACGGACGGTCGTGAACGCTGCGGCGCGAGCCTCCTACGAGAGTGCTGTCCTTGCCGCTGTGCGAAGGCAGATCGAAGCCTTCGAAGAGAAGGTGGAGAAGCAGATCAGCCAACTGCAAGTTCAAGGGGACAAGAGCAAGGACACAAGTCTAAGCAGACTGGAAGAGAAAGTCTCGGCAGCAGAAGGTCTCCAACCAAGGGTTGAAAGGAGGCTTGCAGAGCTCAGCGGCAACTTCAAGGGATTATCCGACGAGATGCAGGCACAGATCCGGCGAGTGGATCTGCTCGACGATCGGCGCTGGGAGTGGAGGCACCAGGTGGAGGAGGAGATGCAAAAGAAGTGCCAAGGCGAGGATTCCGAGAAAGTGCTGTGTGTGGCCAAAAGTGTACCCGTGTCAAGTATGTCAAATCAAAAGCCGTAGCGAGAAGTGCTGTGCTGTGTTGCTGCAGGCTATGAGCAACAGGTACAGGCCCTGGCTTCCAAGCTGCGCAGCCACCTCGCGGTGGAGGCTGCTTTGGGATAGGGTTCAGAACAGAGTGCTTTGACAGTGAGTCCAGGCAGTAGTCTGTCCAAGGACACACTCAAGCAGCACCACCAGCGCTTGCAGAGGCCCTTCCAGTTAAGTCGAGGGCAAGGGCGGGGACAGGGGTGAAGAAATCGGCACAACACTAGAAGGAGACGTCCGGCAAGCATCACAAAAACGGATGTCAGCAGCAGCATTATCATCGTTGGGGTAAAACAAACATCATCGTTGACGTTTACATCGTACATATGCTGAAGCCACTAGCAAACAACCGAGAGGGTTTAGGATTTAGTCAGGGTCTCTGTCTAGGCGATTAACGCCATGGACAACATCAATTAGGCCAAATCCGGTGGAAAGCATCACGCGACCTCCCCGGACCCCGCGTGCACCGAGAGGGTTTTCTGTTGTAGGTTTAGGCCATTAACGGCATCGACAGTATCAACTGTACTAGTACTGAGGATAATAGTTTATTTTGAGATACGCTAAGAGCAGCACCAGCATGTACCAATGCTTGAATGCCATCAACCAAAGCAACATTGTACCAGCGGAGAACGACCAGCACAACGACGAGGACGACCAGGACGACCACGAACATCAGGAGACCACGAGGAGACCACCAGGAGACCGCCAAGCAAACCTGGACATTGCGAGAAAGTTTTCTCATGTACTGTTCCCGCGTGAGTTCCGCGTAAGTGTCGTTAAAGTCGACGTAGCCAGAGATCTAGGCCAGGGCGGCCAGGGCTGATTGTACAAAGCTCAAGAATCTAACCCTTCAGACGGCTTCGTCAAAAATCCAGCACTTAAGACGGCCTTAGCCTTAACCAGCCCTTGCCAGCTATTGTAGCTTTCACACAGCCCTGAAACCTGTAGGAAGCCTCACAGAAGCTCTTAATTAAAATGCCCGTAAACGCTTGCCATCGAGAAGCGTGTAGAAACCTTTGCACATTCATTTGGGGCTTTTAAATCGGGGTTCCAACTTGCAAAGGTATGAAATATGCCTCGCGCAAGTTCCGCGATGGTGTCGCGAAAACTATTTTTTCACGAAGAAGGTCATTCCGGGATGAAGTCACAGCCATGCGGGTTTTGCTCGTTGACGTTGCGTCGGAGCCAACAACAACAGCAACAACAGCAACAGCAACAACAACAACAGCACAAGAACCAGCAACAGCAACAACAGCAAGACGACCAACGACGTGACCAAGAACGACACCACCGCCACCGACGACGACAATACTAGTAGCAACAACAGCTGCAGCATTAGCAACAACAGCAACGGCAACAAACCCACCACAAGAAATGACAACATTTACCGTTGCCATGCATAGCTTCGCCGTGAATTCGTCGATGCACCTGAGACAAGTCCCGGTAGCCCTTGACAGAGCAAAAACTTTGGGGTTGATGCAGACTGCCAACAACACGGTTTAATGAAAATACTATTGATAATGTCAAAATAAGACAATACACGAACCCCCATTCCCAGATCGTGAGTTTAAGGCATATGGAATGTTACACAATACCAGAACCACTTAAAACAATGCACGACAGCCCCGATCCACTATGAGAGTTGCGAATGTACAAAAGACAGGTGCCAGAATCATTTTGCCGGACGACCCCAAGGCATTCATAGTAAGGGTTCGGAACTTGAAGCGTCGGAGTGGCAAGATGGTGCCAATACTAATGCAAAATGATACACCGTAACCCGTTCAGAAGGAAAAGTTGAGCCAAAACTATTGCAAAAAGACTCACGACAACTAGCGTTCAAGCGAAAATGACACCAGAACTTCTGCAACGCGGAAGGCGCCCCAAAGTATGTGAAGCACCCGAGCAATTTAGAAATGCCGCTTTCACAGCTTGCGTCTGCGACTCTCGGAGCGTCTGCGAGGCTGGAGTCGGAGCTCCAGCGAAGCTCCTTTCACGAGGAGTCTGCGGATCACCCAAGGACGGCAAAAGACCCAGATTCTTGCTGACGGAAGGAGGTTCGCGAGAGTTTCGGTCATGTCTGTGGGCGCCTTGAACTTCTTGAAGGGCGGTCAGAGGACCGCCCCGCCGAGCTTCATTTCCTGCGTGTGCACGCTTTCGCTGCTTTGCAGCTCCTGTCACGAGGCCTTGGTGGACAAAGCGACAGCTGCACCAACCTTAGTTCTTGCAGTCGCACCTTTGTCGAACGATGCTTGCATACTGTGGTATGCCTCTAGCATCCGTAACTAACTATCTCTCACTGCACATTGCAAAGTCCATCAGCAATGCTGCCTTGCTGCAGGATGCTCTACTTGAGCGCAGCTTAGCCACCAAAAGACGTTTCCTCAGACATCAGATCCTCTATCTGAATGTTTTTGCTGGTCGAGCCGGGACCGGGTGCTGATCAGGTGATGATTTCGTGTGGCACTTGGGCTACACAGCGGCTGCATCAAAGGCCATGTGTTAGAGTCGCAAGACAAGGTTTCCAGTTCCATCTACGAAGTGCTCTCGAAGCGCTTGGAGGATTGCAGTCTTGTAAAGCAGGATGGATGACCTTGCAGGGTAGAGGGGAAACAGCGACCTACTCGCAGCTCAATCCGCTAAAATAGTCTACATTTTGCTTTGAAGAGTGTCGCAGGACTTGGGAGGGCGCATTGAGGAAGCCTTGCAGGACTTGGGGTGCCGCCTCGCACTTTCATGAGACTTTCTCCAACTCTAGGCTGTTTAAGATGTCCGACACATCTGCCAGTTCATGAGTCGATGACTTGCGGACGAGTCTTGTTCTCGACTCTGTGTCGCAGCCATTTCTCGGCCCCAGCTGCAGCCAAGACCAGAGCCAACAAGGCAGGGGGGGAAGAAGTTCGGCAAGGGGAGGCGAGTCGGTCCTCGGCATTGCAGGCTAAAGAGCCATGGCTCTTCGTGCTGTGGTGCTGCTGGCAGTCTCTCGACCCACTTTCAGACTTCTGAGGTTGTTTGCTGTTGACGACTGATGGAGAGCAAACAAGAAGAGTCGTGCCCTGGGGAAGGTGTTTCGAAGGGCTGTGTGCAAATAGCAGAAAACTAGTGCACCACTCTGTCTACGGTAGCATAAAAATCGCAGAGGCGTAGGGTTGGGGTGCCAAAGACTGTCACTGTAGCTGGGATATACTAGGCCATCAGCTCAGATCTGAGTGACGAGGCGAGGCACTTGCATCTGCCGTGTGGGAGTTCCTTTTTCTTGCCCGGCCATGCTGTTAGGTTACTTGATCTACAGAGAAGGTAGGAAGGTGCTTGCCTTCCCTGCCTTGCCCAAGACTTCCAGGTTGCCAGCGTCGCCTTGGTCGGTCTGCAGCGTGGTTTCGTCGCAGATGGCATTCAGGCCAGGCTCCGTCCTTGAAGGGTGCATTTCTAGGATCTGGCGGCGAGGCCACGCGGCAAACCACTCAATCTTCGCACCTCACCGGAAGCGCCCGGCTTGAAGCCGTAGAAGAGGCCAGTGTCCTCCTGCTTTTGAGACGAATGCATGTGAAAACTCGCACCCTGTGAGACGCCACAGGAAGCGTCGACCACGACCACAGCCTTCGACGGGCTGCTGCGCTTCGCTGCTGGGGCCATGCTGGGTCTGGCCCTGGTTGCCGGCACTGCGGGTCCTGCCAGGGCCGATGTCGAGGCCAGTGTCGGCTGGCCGCACTCCTGGTCTCTGA